GCTTTACAATTTAAAGAGTTAGAGGGGAGGTAACCTTTCCATGACCAGTACTGTCATATAATGTAATAAATTTATAAATTTTTTAAACTACGCATATATTATTCAAAACAACTAATTTATTGGTGCGTAGTACTTTAAGTAAAATGCTTTACACCCCAAAAACTTTCCCTAAATCCTAAACCTAACATGAAAAAAAATAGTTAAAAATTTTATATACTAACTTATAAAAAAAATGGGGAGTTTACAAATAAGGGCCGGAAAGTGAAAATAATTACAAATACAGGCCCAAATTAAAAATAATTACATAAAAGGGCCTAATTTTTTTTAAAATATTACATATTAGGGCCCAAAATAACCGCGACGCTTCACACCTGTAGCTTGATCGTTATTAGTATAAGAAACGTAAGCATCGCATAAAAAAATGTAACGATCAATTGTAAATTAGTAATTATAAATAAGAAAAGAAAATTTTTTAAATATAATAAATTTCATTTTCTTTGTATTTGCTTATTATCATAACAAACCACTATTATGTCAAGTAAAACATTGCGAATTGACATGATATTTACTAATATGAAGGATGTTCATTCAGCTACTCTGTTGAAACATCGCCTTATGAATAATTATGCTAGTTTAACGCTATTTTTATGCAATATTTAAGCGAAGTGATTATAACTAGCAACTTCATTTTTAACAATCAGTATATAGATAACTCTAAATGTCTATAATCGCACTATCGTTATAAGCCCGTGATTACGTTTTTTTTTTTTAGCCATTAATAGATTTGGGCCTTTATATGTAATATTTTTAAAAAAATTAGGCCCTTATATGTAATTATTTTTAATTTGGGCCCGTATTTGTAATTATTTTCACTTTACAGGCCCTTATTTGTTAAAAAAATGTATAACCAAAGTAGGTGCGTTATTATAAATGAATATCAAAAACAGGATACTTGTATCACTTCATATAGAATAGAGTCCTCCGTTACACTCCGAATAATGAAAACCAATTAGTGAGTAGCTAAATTTGGTTTATCTCTGATGCAGTTTGGTTTCTTGGAAGCAAAGCCCTAGATGAATTTGCAAATCACGATAAAAAATGTGCTATTTACTAAATATTCTTAAAAATTTTTTTTACAGTAAATATTGTAAAAATATGCCCGAAACTTATTTTCTTGAACAACACGATGGCTCTCGAATTGCTTATAATATTCTTGAACCAAACAACCCAGAAGATATTAAAAAAACACCTCTAGTTTTAATTATGGGATTGTAAATATTTTCATCTTTTTTTGCATCTTAAATTTATTCTTGAAATTCTTAAATTAATCGATTAAAGTCTGGGCGTTAAGGAACTATTTATGGGGCTGAAAGAAGGTTAATATAGATATTTTCATTTTAAAACATGCGCAAGTGAAAATTTTTGGTCTTACTAAAATGTGGCAAATACAGTACATAACAGATAGATTTTTTAAAGATAGTAATACTGCTATATTACCCAATTTATCTTCATGTTTTAGTAATGCCAAATTTTATTATACATAGGAAAGTAACTAACTTATCAATCATTATCAGAATTAGCAAAAAATCAAAAAGGTTTGCTACATTTTATTTTATTGCGGAATTTATTCTTTTAACTAATATCTGAATTGTTTATTCATTATATTCATTAGTTATTGTATTTGATAATCGTGGAATCGGTGAATCAAGTGTAGTTTCTTCTTATGATCCAATCTCACTTGACCTGATGGCACAGGATACAGTTGCATTAGTTAAGCATCTAAAAATAAAACGATTTAATTTATTGGGATGGTCTATGGGTAATGTTAAAATATTTAAAATTTAATTTTGAGAAAATAAATAATTTTCTATGACTAATTTTTTATGTTTAGGCCGTATTGCAGTTCATGTTGCTTCAAACCTTCCTTCAGATCTTGAAATAGAGAAACTTATTCTTTGCTCAAGGTATATGCATGACAATAATTTTTGATAATTTATGAAATTGTTTATTAACTTACAATCTTCATCATCAACAAAGTCCAGTTAGACCTCCAGAACCTTCAGAATTTGATTCACAAAGACCACCAGATATTCCAAAAAATATTCAAGAACAAAAAGACAAAATTATGAAAAAATCTGAAAAAACCTTTACTGATTATATGGTCGAGCACCCAGATATATTTGATAAATATGCGGAAATAAAATTTAAAGCATTTGAAAAACATTATCCATTCGAGATTTCTAGTTTGTATATTTTAGCTAAGACTTATTATGCTTAAAGTTCTTAAAATTTAGGATAATAACAACTTAATTCATTTTTAGAAAGACAATGGGAAGCAATTAGAGACTCGAATATTTTATCAAGATCACAAACAATCATGGTTCCAACTTTGTTAATTCATGGTGAAGCCGATCAAGTTGTTTCAATTAAAGAATGTAAACTTCTGGCTGATGAAATTCCTAACAACAAATTTATTTCAATTCCCAAAGTCGGTCACATGTAAGCATTGATAGTTTCAAATATTTATTTCAAAAAATCTTTAATTATTATTTACAATATTTTATCCAATTAAAAAAAGGTTTTGGATTGAAGAACCCAAATCTATAACCTTTATAAATGAGTTTTTATCTGACTAAAACTATAATATCATAATTTTATAAATAACTAAAGGTTTTTTGTATCTTAAATGTTGCATACCAGTAAAGTCTCAACTTTATTCAACTTGTATTAAAGACAGCATAGTGGACTTATCATTATTTTTTTACAAAGAACATATTACATATTACTCTTTATTGCAAATAATGCAAGCCGCAGAATAAAGCACAAGTTAACCATACAATTTGTGAATGACAAAATAACCTTATATTTTATATAATTTTATAATCTAGTAATCTTTTTCCATTTCTCTTTTATATGAGTGCCGCCAAGGGAAAACCTGTTATCGGACTTTCAATTATATTTTGTGTACAGTTTGAAGAATCTATTATTACAATAGATTTTCCATAGGCGGCTAACTGTACATAAAATATAATTAAAAGTCCGATGACAGGTTTTCCCTTGGCGGCGCTCATATAATCTAACTATATAAAATGAATCAATATTAAAATTTATAATATTGGACATTTTACTAAGTATACAAAAACCGATTTAATAAGGGAAGCGACATTAATTACATAATTTTTTAAGGAATTCTACATATTTATTATATAAACATTATGGTTGTTTCCAATTTTATCACCCAAAAAGAGAAATTACCAATAACTAGGAATTACTTTTTTAATATATCAATATCCTTGTACATGTCATATCAGAAATCGCCTTCTATCTGGATTTGCAACTTCAAATATCTGAAGTTGCATTATCTAAAGTTGAAACTTCAAATAAAAATAATGTTGAAAAGTTGACTTTTTTACAATTTTTTATAAAACTAAACATATATATAGTAAAAAAAATTATCAAAAGATCTATTTATCACATAATTAAGAATTAATAAAATATTGCTATTATGATTATAATTCTTTTTTATGGTCTGCAAATCAGATCATTAACAATTTTCTTTAAATTTTTTTTTCTACTATTTCAATTAATTTTGAAAGTCTTTCATCAATATTTTTAGCATTTTTACATTTATATTTTTCTTCGGATTTTTTTCAATCAATTCCTTAAGCCTGTTACTTAAGATAGGTTGTTGGTTGGTTGGCAAATTATTTTTATTTCTGAAATTTTATTACAGACTTTATAATTATATGCAATAATGTCTGAAATTTTTGAAATGAATAATTAGTGAAGTTTCAAAATGAGGGTATAAATCTATGTTAGTATCAGTAGTATTTCATTTTTCACTTAACAGTTTAATATACAGATAATTCCCAAAATTAACAAATACTATATATATACTTTAATAACTACACCAGCTATAATAGCAAGTTAAATGCCAACATTATAAAACATAAAGCTCATAAAAAAATAAAGAAATAAGCATAAGTGTGTTGATACTCATAATAGGGAGGACCCTTTAATAGCCAATAGATTCAAATCACAACAGAGCAAAACACCAAGATCTATAAATACATGCATTAAAAATCGGGATCCCATCAACTCACCGACAACCATTTCATAGACACCACACTTCACTGACGACAAGTTCATTTCACCGACAGTTTATTTCACCGAAGCTCATTTTACAGACAAAGTAATTCTGGTCAATATCATTAGAGTTAGGTTAGAACTAGAGTTAAAGTTAGTGTAATTTATAAAAAAAAAACATGTCGGTGAAATAAGCTTCGGTGAAATAGTCTGTCAGTAAAATGAACTTGTCGATGAATAATTGTCTGTTAAATGTGGTGTCTATGAAGTGATTGTCGGTGAAACAATACGGACCGGACCCTTAAAAATCAACTTTACAATTACAGCTAATTTCAAAATTCATGGACACACCCTAAAAATTTATCCTGAAATGTTGTCGGCCGGTGGGTAATCACGTGCGTTTTAATCAATATTATATTACTAATATGGTTAAATTTGGCACAGTAAATTATCGGTACGTATTGTATTTATTATATCGTTATCGTGTATTTTGACAAAACACTATAATACATAATCAACCGCACGTGATCAACCACCGGCCGACAACATTTCGGGATAAATTTTAGGGTGGTCCGTGAATTTTGAAATTAGCTGTAAAGCAAAATTATAAATTTATATATGTATATTACCTAAATAGTTCCATGAACTGGTTATATATTTTTTCCAATTCTATATGAATTAATGTATTTGTAATAAATATCCCGTAATCTTGATATAGTAATTGGGGTATTTCTATAATAAATAATAATAAACATCTGGTAATAACCGATATCCACTGGCAAACTTTTTCCATTGAGTCCATTAGTTTCTGTAACACCAAGAAAAAAATTTCACAAGAAAAACTGCAAAAATGAACCAAAGAAAGCAATAATAATATTTCCAAACAATTCCCACTTAAATTTAAGTAAGGCTTCACCACTCCAATTATTATATAATTCAGTAGTTTGCATTTTTATAAGACTATTTGATAGCAATTTTCCTAATATTTCTATTTCTGAGCATTACGTAATTTACCGTATTTTCGCGAAATAACGCACCCCAGCGCGTTATTTTGAGTATAGGCGCGTTATTTAGAGTACGCGCCGGGGCGTTATTTTGAAACAATAGTAATTTACAGCTGATTTGGGGAATGTTAAAGCCAGGTGTGCTAGAACTACTGTTTCGATGAAGTTAAAGTTACTTTTTTTAATATAATTAAGGTTAGTAGGTTATATAGATATCAAGAATATAATTTATACAGTATATATATCAATATATCAAGCGCACCTGGTTTTAACGGACCCCTTGATTTGGTATGAATTAACTTATCAACTAGATGGGATACGTTCATCTCACCGACAATCACTTCGTAGACACCACATTTCACCAACAATTTCTTACCGATAAGTTCATTTCACCGACAGTTTATTTCACCGAAGCCCATTTTACAGACAATGTAATTCTGGTCAATATCATTAGGGTTAGGTTAGAAATAGAGTTAAAGTTAGTGTAATTTATAAAAAAAACTTTTCGGCGAAATGAGCTTCGGTGAAATAGACTGTCGGTAAAATGGACTTGTCGATGAATAATTGTCGGTGAAATGTGGTGTCTATGAAATGATTATCGGACCTAACTAGATATAGGGGGCGCGTTATTTGGAGACGCGCCGGGGCGTTATTTTGAAACCATAGATGCTATTTTTAGGGGGCATGATTTTCTAAATAACGCCCCGGCCTGTTATTTCGCGACAATACGGTAAGTTATGATAATTATATTAATTGAAAGTTTATGTAGTACATTGCAACTGTGTATTATTATTACACTTGCTTGATAACAGAATATAAATAAATTTCAAATGCAACTGGATTATCCTCCCTAGTGTTTTTACAAATGCATATGAAATTTCCATTGTAAAGAAAAAGATTTTGAGTTTTTTCATATGTAAATAATTTCCACTTTCTGATTTGTTGTCTTTCTTTTGTGTAATACATGATCAGAACAGCTTTAAAAATAATATATATCGGTATTAATAATACATTTTTAATAGTTAATTAAATACACAGTAGTCGTTTAATATTGAGCTTATTTTGTACTAAACATCATTATTTTAAATATATCAAAAATATTTGATGTTTAAATGACAAAATAAATTTTAATAAAGCAAACAATACTATACTATGATTAAACCATCATCTGACAATTCCAATTGTTCACAATAACCTTTAATTTTGGAATCCGTTCTAATTGTTTTTCATCTTCATTAGGCCATACAATAGCGAACTGAAGCTTTTCTTATTTTTCTAGATCTTTGTTATCTACATTTTTCTTATTAATCATAGGTGAATTAACCAGTGTTGTTATTTTTATAATTAAGATCTACATCAATTTTTACATGAGCTGTTTCTTGTGACATGTTATATGCTGCAATATAATAATTTTAACTATTTAATAACCTTTTGATAAAGAGGAAAGAAATGGAAGAGTCACTGACAAAAATATTATATAACATCTCATTATGCCAACATTCCAACATAAGGCGCCTCAAACAAAATATTTTGTATATGTTTAACCCAACTGATTGATAATTGAGGCAAACATTGTAGGCACTTATGGCAGTGCTATGCTAATTAATATATGATTATTATTAGATTAACTGGTGATGCCTGATAAGCAGTATCTGAATGATGGATTGAATTATTTTTTTATTTGTATTATCATATTTATCTATTTTATTTTATTTTTGTTTCACTTCTCGACATTGCCTGAAGAATGCATTAATAACCGGATGTATCTGATGAGATCTGATAGAAAAAATATTACGACTTCAGACTCTATGTAATTTAAATTTATAACGAACTGATGATTATAGTTGATCGATTCAATATTAGAATTATCGTAAATGTGCATATACAAGGCTCGGGTCTATTTTATTTAACCAATTTTAAACCCTTCAGTAGACCACACACTGAGGCTTTTTGTGAAAGAAAAAATTTTCTATAAGAAAATACAAACTTTAAAGAGTTACAGCACATAGTATATCAGGGAGCCCCCAAAGTTTGAGTCAATTATTAGCCTAACTAAGTTCATACACGCTTTGTTCCTATGTTAGGCAGTCTAGCCATATTTAGTTAATAAAGTTTCTGTGAGTCGTAATTCATGGTGGATCTACTATTTTTGGGATCTTATATACCGATACGCACATTTGGGTAAGCATTTATCACCAACTAGCAATTATATGTAAAATCAGAAGTTGATTCAATTAAATAAGCCTGATAACGTATAATAATTTTTTTGGATGGTTTTGACTATTAAACAGTAAAAAACAAATGTGAGTAATGAAAAAATTTGTAATCTACATATTAGATATCTACATATGACAATCACATAAATCATGTGGGTTGATAAGGGTAAGATCGATCCCTAGTATCGAAATATGCT